CCTACTCTTACTTCCACCCATCTCCCCCAATTTGAAGACAAGTTTTGGTAAAAAGAACTTCTCACCACTGAGAACATTCTCGCCAGGAAACAGCAACATTGCATATAATAAATTTTATCCAACAACAGTGAGCCACACATCACTCCGTTTTTGCATTTTTTTGCTAGTCACTTTTTAGACGGTTTTTAATTTTATTTTTTGAAAAAGTCTGAAATATTTTTTTAAAGAACTATTGGGGACCCTTACATTGAGGGCCCTGAGCCCGCGCCTTTTAGGTCCGTGGGTTAACAGGGGCTGTTCCACGGTGTGTTCAGTCGGACGTCAGTGTGTTCTTGTTTCTCAGATTCTTTCTTTTTTCTCAATCGTACATTGGTTTTTAGTCTCCCTTGTCCAAAACTGAATTAGATTAGGTACTTATTATTTCGGCTAGAAGGTTTATATAACCCGTATGGCAGAAATCTATAATTTGCATACATTGTAACAATAGTTATTTACGATATAAGTGTTATAAAATATACGATTACAATACAAGATAGGAAAATATCCAATCGAGCCCGTTAGGCCGTATTCACTTTTTTTTCCTCTCTCGTATAAGAGGCGACACTGTTCTCAAAAAATATTGTCAACAGAAGAGAGGAAAAGTACGTCATTACTTTACCGCCCTAGTGTGGTCATATAACTTGAATTATCTTAATATAATGATCGCTGTTCTTTACTTGGTTCAGTCTGTTACAAGTACTGTTAACCTATGTTTCTTTATCCTATCACAGAGCTTCGTTCCTAATTTTTGGTTTAACGTGTAAGTGTAATATATTCCTTTCAATTTTCCTTCGACAGACACAGACCATGCAGTCATTTGAAAATAACCGTCAGTTGTCCCACTCGGAAAACATCGAAGACGTTCGTCATCCACGTAATTTGATGCCAACACTCGAATGCAGTAAATTTTGAACCGGTGTATCGCCTGAAACTGCACGTAAAATCGGGCGAAAATGACTTAGAAAAGTCTATTATTTCGGCATCCAATCTTCCCCCATTGTCCACTTCATCATACATGCCCCGAAACAATAATACGATGTTGCTTTCTCAAGAAAACCATTCCTAAAACCATGCCTTCCCGGAAGTAGTTATTATTTTTTCCCATTCTTGTCTCATTTTGTTATTAATTAAATGTGCCATTAGGTTATACGAAACTAACGTAAGCTGATACACCGGTCCATTGTATACCGCTTTATGACATATCGTAAGACTCACTGATTTCTATGTAGTATTATAATCGAAAACAGTTAAACGGATTGTAGCAAGCGGTCTATTCTAACTTGTAGTGAATAAATTGCTTCCCGCAATACTCCAAAGCAAAATTCTTCCGAGTTCTTCGTAATTTACGAGATGCACTGAAAACTGTGATTCAATATGGAAATGAAACAATATTCTATCGAACTTAAATACGAAGTTAACTTAAATTACTTTCTGAAAAAAGTGTGTTTCCTTCGTTATATATTCATATTAAAATAATTATATTTAGTAATAAAGATACAGACTTGATTAGATGAAATAATAACTAAAATTCACGTTAATCGTAAATTTTCTCCTTCAAGAACCTTTTCACATTTCATTGAAATAACATTTTTGGCTCTCTAAATGCAAATTACTTGAGAGCGAGGATTGGAATTATTTTCCTGTTAGTCTTCATCACGGCGTATGGAGAGTAAAATTAGATATTTCAGGCGTCCATTTATGTATCTAACGTAGTAATCAAAGTCTGATGTATTCTATCCTTCTCCGTAGATTAAGAGAATTCAATGCGTTCAGGTATTAAAACATTGAGACCATTTCTCATTCTAGAGCTTGTGTATAACTTACATTAGTTCTGCTCTATTTCTCCCGATTTAAATTGCCATTCCTGTGAAAATCATCTTGACTATTTTCAGATATGAGATTTACTTCGCTTAGTACGTATAATTATCGCAATAAGTGTTAATAATCTTATTCATTGACCATACTGGCGAAACCACGTCTATTACCACACGGGGGACTGCTACTATCGCCACACTGACGTCTCACTATTCCTGCAATGACGATCAAGTACCTCTCTCAGATAGAGATTTGCTATTACAAAATATTGTGATAAAACAACAACCTATAACATGAAACAAATTTGACGATGATGGTATTATGACGGTAACTGTGATGTTATTATGACGGTAACGGTATTATGAGATAGATTATGAAGGAGACGTATAACAGCGGTGAAGGTATTGCGACAGTGAAGATATTACGACGGTGATGATGTTGCAGCGGTGATGATATTATGACGGCGTTAATGTAATGGTGATGGTGGCTCTGTTTGTGTAAGAGATATCGCAAGAGTACGAATGTTACTGAATAATTACTACTTTCCTCGGAAAAACGAAATTTACCAACGAACACGATGTAACTAATTCATCTGAGGGATATTATCGACTATAATAAATTTTCAGGTGCCCCTTTCGGCCTATCTTATTTTATTTTATCGTTCATTTCATTATTGACATTCAAACACAAAATAAAAATGTATGACAATAAATGTAATTCAATGCACACAAATCTAAGTCAATTTAGGAAATGACTTCCCTAATATCCAGAAAAGTCATTAAGACATATCGTCTCAGCCAGTCACAATTCCAAACAGACAAGAAATGATGTTTACAAAAACGTTTTGAACAAGGTCGTTGACAAGGCTACATATTGTAACCAGTTAAATCGGAAAAATTGAAATATGTTTCACTTAAAAATTAATTAAAATGTAAATGAAATAATCCAGTCAATAACTGTACTCATTTCTTCACAAAACTGTTACTTCCAGGATGAATAATTCCTTAGTTAGCATTTAATGTTAAATGAGATTTCCACATTTTCAGCCTAAACCATTCATCGAATTAAAATATTCTACACCAAAGTTCAGTTATCTGCGTGTTATAATATGAAATTAGGAAAATATGACATTTATAGCAAGTTATTATATAAAAGTAGTATTTTACGTTTTGTCCTTTATCCGCAACAGCTATCATGTAGTGTATATATTTTGAGTACTGGCAAGCCAAGTGAAATCCTCGAAATTCTCTGTTTTGAATGTAAGTTGGTATTCAACGACTACAAAACCGTAGATTGAAGGCGAAGAAAAAGAAATGATGCTAAAACAGCACGTACTTTATCACCTGTATTTTCACGCACAATTACGCGAAAAGCACTCAAATTTTCGAAAAATTGTACATGACATTATTTTAAAATCTATTTTTAAAGAACAGATTTTGTTAAGGGAAAAATCTAAATCTCTAATATTTTAGTATTCCCAAAAAAGTTTAAACTCTTGCAATTTTTGATAAATTAGTTTTCAAGGAACATGATACCTGAATCATTCAATCAAACGTCCTTCACACAAAGAAAAAAATTAATCAAAAACGATAGAGCCTCTTTTTTGAAAATTTTGGAAATGTCCCGTGTAAACTACCATCAAAAATTAAATATCGGTTACATATTTAAAGGGTCGGTTCATCAGCTAGACCGTTTGAAGAATATAAATTTTGGAGAAAATCGGATGAATTCGCTAGCGTTGTTCCCAGAAGGACAGACAGACGTTTTAACGTCATTCGATTTTTCTATATTAACAAGACATGACGGATTCTCGGTACACCACTTGCTAGACAATTTTTGTCTTGTAAATTTAGTACCTGGATACTTCGACTTTTTCGTATTAGGGCAATGTTATAAGAGCCAAAATTTGCCGTTATTTCGCGGAGCATTACTTGATTTATTCTCTATCCGTAGCGAGAAAGTAAATCTTAAATCGCACAAAATTACCACATGTTTCTGTTTGTACATCTGATACATTTTCCTACAATTAAAATGTCAATCATTCAATACGTTTAAGATTATAAGCTTTTTTAATACACAATTTTATTGTACAGAGTGGATAATTCACCTTTCGCCGCAGATGACAAAACATGAGAGGTGCAACTTCACCAATCGAAAACTGCGAAACCTATACTGAGTTTTAAACGTGAGGCGAATTGACTTTTGATTATCTGAAACGCAGTTATTCAATCGACAGCTTCAGTATAATTATCAGTTGCAACGAAGCACCCAATTGGATAACTGCGTCCCACAGGATCACTGAGAATTCACTTTACATTTTAATCGGAGTGTAGCGTTTGTACTTCGCGGAGCATTACCAGACGAGGCAAATCAGTCGAGAAGTGGCGTTCCTGAACCCCGAGTCCCTACAGCGTTCAAACACTGTGATGAAATGGTATCTTGATTATTTGTCGCATTCTTCATTCGAGATAAATATTTTTATTAATTGTATGGCAATGGCTATTGAATTGGTCGGGCAAGACGTGGGTTTATGACTTCCAAGATCATTTGATTTAACCCCTTGTAATTTTACTTATTTTACCATTACTTCTCTAGAAGAGGAAAAATTGTTATTGTGCGCTAGAAAACTCAAAAATTTTGAGTTTTCTGGAAACTTCGAAAATTTCAAACTTAAAAATAATGCGAGAAAGTAAGTACTGGTGTAGCACCACTAGTGTTCTTTGGGAATAATTGGTAGTAGGCAGGAAGCCTTCATTCCAGGAAAGAACACTGTTATGGAGAAAATCGTCTCAATCTCGCGTGATTAGTTCATATAAAATCAAAATATGATATATTCGAATGATATATTCGAGCCGATAGGTACCACTTACAGCATCTTCTCTAGGAAAAGGTGATGCGCGGCAGAAGTGACCGCATCTTCACAGCACGTCTTGAGTCAGCGCTTCGTCGGTGACCAACGTCTCCCGTTTTTTTCGGAGACTGATAAGTGGTCTGCGCTATATTATAATTAGAAATGAAAGGGGAATTAAAAACAGAAACTTTCTACTTGACCAAAGTAGTGGCCATATCGATATACAATTGCGTCCCTTGACGAATACAGGGCGGCGTGTGTGACGTCAACAGTTTCCCCGCCCCCAGAGGCGCCGATGCAGCATGCGCTTCCGCAAGCCCCGCGTCTGCCTCCGGAGCAGGTAATTAGAAACTTGCGCCGAGTCGCGTCGCGGCGAGCGCAGGCGCCTGCTGCATGCCAGGGCAGGCGCCCTTGCCCCTTGCACCGCCATGCGACAACCTCACTGACTGCGGCGGCTTATTGTCAAGTGTATGTGTCGCACGCCGCTCCACTTCCTAGCTAATTAGACAGAACTCAAATGCACCCCTAAACATTTGCTACGACTTATGAGAGTCCTTGAAAGACTTACATAAAATAGGGTCGTTTAAGGGTACTTTTTAAAAATTGTTTATGTTTTACGAAAAAGAATGTAAACACATAGTTATTCAGAAAAAAATTGTTCGTTGGAAAACAATAGTGGCAAGCGAAGTGAAAATATTCCTTGTACTTTGTTACAGAACAATGGGTGAGAAAATTTCCTAACGACCTTTTCTTTTCAACAGTTTGTTTTTCAGACAATACTTTCAATAATAATAAGAAGAAACTAATTTTAATTCAGTTAGGATCAGGTATCTCAAAGCTCGGATTTGCCACCAGATGAATTAACTTATTTCCAGCAATTAATTACAATTATAGCGTGTTCTACATACGAGTACAAATACAGCTTTCACGAAAAAAATTACACACGTGTGGGAAGTTCTAAAAAAACTCTGAGTTTATTACAATCGTATGAATATATCTAAAAATTCTTAGAAAAAAGTTAAAAATTATTAGGTAACGGGAAATTAAATACAAAAATTTAATTTAAAAGGAACTAGAAAACATAATTTTATCCAAATGGAGTGCAACTTCAAACGTCCAGGCCCTGAAATTTGCGTAGTAGCATTTTAGGATCGGTTCTGAGTGCGTGTGTAAACAGTATAATATTGCACAGTGTGTTTAATATTCGATTGGACAACAAGCAGATAATATGCGTTTAAGTATTGATTTTTTTCTGTTTTGAATCAATTTAAACTAAAAGCACTATTATAAATAAATTTGAACAAAAAAGATTTAACTAACTCTTGATGGACTTGTCTTCTTCCTTAACCACCTGTCTTCTTCCTTAATACAGTCGATTTTTTTGGACATTTTCACCTACTCCCTTCGAATTTTGAACTTAGATGTATTGTTAAGGTCTATCATTGTTATTAAAAATGTACTTAACTGAAAATAATTCCCAATCGATTTTTTTACATCAAATGTGTAATTTGTTAATGATTCTTGATGGCTTAGACGCATTTAAAATGCATTGATTATATAAATGGTTTTCAACCCCTCAAAGTGGATATAATGGACAAAAGAACAATGTGTATTCTCTGATTCACAAGATAAAAACATCGCTCATCAATACTCCACATTTGTGTATATTCGCTTTTTTATCTCCTTCCCTCACTCGTTAAAATAAACGTCGTACTTCCATACCCTGTATATTATGAATATCAATACACTTGGTGTTTAATCTCCCTCTCATTCTCTCATTCTCTTGTCCCTTAATATAGATTAACAAATCACTATATATATATATATATATATATATATATATATATATATATATATATATATATATATATATATGCTCCTAATTACCATAATTATTTCATTTAAATCAAGAAACGTTAATTTGGCCATCTGGCAACATGTTTGCGAATACACATGTTTTCTCTTCAGTAGAATTTCTTCTCTTTTTTTCAAACAATAAACAATTTACTTTCAATGGGGAAACGTTTCTAAGGAATACGTCTGTTTATTTCATATTTCCTTGTAAGGCGGCTGAATTGCAATGGCCGAATTACTATATTTATTATGTATAGTGAGGCTAGAGATACTCCCGAGAAGTTACTTGAAAGAGCAAAATCTGCAATTTCGAATATGTTACCGGAAAATTCAAATATATGTACGAAAAATTGTATACGCAGTGTCGTGGTTGGTGAAGGAAATTTTTCGGCACACGATTACATTAACTTTCTATTCTTACGAAGTAAGTGCGAGAAAGTAAAAATACAAACGTCAGTTTCGTTTACCCATTCTAAGAAGTACGCCAGCAAAGCTGAGTCGGAAGTGACTTTTTTTACTTTCCAATTTTGTACTTTTCAACATCTTGAGTTCTCTCATAACTGTATTAACTTTTCGTGGAAAGTAATGTTTTCATTACTTTGAGAGCTTCTTCTAATATTTCATCCGGAATATGTTGAATATCTTCCATTTGTAAACATTTATCTTCTAAATCACTACGGTGATCGTAAGAACACATTGCAAGGCTCACTAAAAATTATATTTTCCAAAAGCTATACGACGACATTAAATGTATTCTCGAATGGTAAAGATGAGCTTGAACTTCTCTTAATTTAAATTATTATTAAATGGAAACCAAAAAAGAAAAAACGTAAAACGTAGTTTATTTTTAAAAAAGTGTATTTAAAAAGTCTAAATATGTCTAGAAAATACAAGAAATTTTTAGATACTTTACAATTCAAGTGTAATCTATACATTTAGTATGATGTGAAACTAGTAGATATAATGCCCACTCCACTTGCATTTCTAAATATCCTTCAACGAACGTCCTGGAAATGAAACGCAGGAAGTCAAGATGCCAGCAAATTTTAGTTTTAAACTAAGGGTTAGAACACTCAAACGTTGAGCTTACAAAGCAAATATTATGATTCCTCAGAAAGTTTGTTTGCCATCTTGCAGTTTTCATTAAATAGTTTGCATTCATCCAAATTAAATCTTCATTGGTTCAGAAGCAAAATTACATTTTTCTTTATAAGGCAAAGTTACGTTTGAAGAACCGCATAAAACTATGAATCTCTATTAAAAATCCTAAATTTAATATTTTTAAATATTTTATTTAATGATAAAAGCTAAATGCCGAATTAAATACAGTTTACAAATATTTTTAATGTTTATTTGAAATAATGTCGATCCAAGATAAAAATTTTCTGCTTAACATATTTTACTGAGAATTTATTTTGAAAATCATGAGATAATTGACAAAGTTTCTCGACACTGGCATTATTATTATTATGGAGAATTAAGTGTACTGGCTTCCCGAAGGTAATTTAGAATGTAGAGAAAATGTTCGTAATACCATGCGGTTATACATGGAAGAAATTTGCAAGCTGCATAGCAGAGATATTTTGCATGGAATAGCTTAACAATTAGGCTTAATTAGTTTCTGAAAAAATTAAAATGCTCATCCTCGGAATTACATTCATAAAAAATCAATACATATTTGCCAGTAAAAGAGTATTCACACAAACAAAAAATACATTAATTGCTTTAATTCATATTTCATAAAAGTTCTGAAGGAAACTATTTTTATTCCAAAAGCAACATCCCAAATGTAATATTCGAAGAAACGTACGTACAATTCGAATTATAAGAACTACCAATGCAGTTCAAAACATCCATAAAATATTGAAAGTTATCTTGAGTTATTCAGTAATGCAATTTTTTCGTAAAATCAACAGAATAATTCTCGACCGTTTCACAGCAATTCTTAAATTATTTCTTCTACCAACGTACTTTACAGACAACTCGCAACACCAGTCAGATGAATTGAGACCGGCAATAAAGTTGGAGCTCAGAAATCCCTTCGGGTGCCGTGGGCCAAGTTGAGCCTCCGCTCGCGAGTTGCGAAGCCGTGGAAGTTAAGTTGCCGGGCGAGCGTCTGGCAGCGAGCGCGTGCCTCAGGGCGAGGCCCAGCACGGCGCCGCCGATCGCCGTCTGTACGCGGCGCTCGGCCGCCCAAAGGAAATGGCAGAGGCGCCGCGAAACGTCCATCGGGCGAAGACTACTGGCGCAATAGGCCTGCGGCTCTCGAACTGGGGGATAAGCTAACCACATTTTCTTAGGCTCTCGATATTTTAGGTGCGAGGGAAGTACGGGATTTAGTTATCTCGTCGGCAATATTACCAAATCAAATCTGTAGCTCTTTTGGCAGTTCATTAAATTATTGAATATTTCGTGTTTCCGAGCGTTCAAACAGCTATGGCCATTATTGCTGTTTGTGCAGTGAATGATTTAACATGGGAGGTGGCAGTGTTCCTCACCTGCTCATCAGATTCGGCGCCAACAAGTACGTTGGCTTTCCGGGTTTTCCTCCCCTTAGGTACCTTCTCAGAGGGGCACCGCCTCAGTAGCGACGAGCATTAAGCTCTCGACGGGTCGAGAAAAAATTAGAGGTAATATTGTTCTTCTCTAACTTTAACTAGTCTTTCTCTAAGTTCTCTCGTTGCTGTGTCCTATTCATACTCATCTATGTAATGTAAAAGTGATGACGGCAGTGAATCCGGTTCTTAAAACACGAGGATTATATGCGTTCGTCAGGATGCGCGCTACTTTCAACTTAACTCAAGAAAAAAGAATATTACATACAGACATCGGGTACAGTTGTACCCCAATTACAAAGGATTACAAGCTAGAGGTACACAACTCAAATTCATTTCTTCCATATTACTATATACATGTGTAAAGTGTGAGAATCGTTTCAAACTTACATTTTAAGACATTAATTTAGGTAATGAAAAAACGGAAATATTAAAATTAACATTTCTTTCAAATTAGCTTGGAATATGTTTTTATATAATGTGGAAGGAAAATAAAAGGTAAGAGTCTAAAGGGTTCATTGCTGAATCTGAAGGGTAAACATTTATTTACATTATTTCTACAATAACTTCAAACATAGGCAATTTTTTTTGAAAAAATAATTTCTGTCACTATACTTCCTGTACTTTTTTCATTAGAAAATTAAATAATAAATTACTAAAATAATAAACAAAAAATAATAATGTCTATAAAACTATTTGAAAAAAGTTTATTTTCATGGCACATGTCACGAGGTTTTATGTTGTAGATATCTAATTCTAGAGCTTCCGTCATCCGTTTATTTTCTGTTAAACACAAAAAAAATTCTGCGATATTTTGTATATTGCGTAATATTTAAACTCTTAAACTCATTGTATCAATTCAATTTCCCAAAAGGAAAAAAAATACTATTGGACATTTCTGCCATGAAATAAACAATAATGTAAACATTTGTGTACATTCGTGAATACTATCCTTGCTATTCTCACATAATATATTTTAATAAATATTCTTAGATTTGATAAGAATCTTAGAATTCGATATATGAAATATATTTCAACGATTTCTTCTCAACTTCTCAAGCTAAACATGTTCTTTCCCTCTACGCACGCATTTAACATTTGGCCCAGTGTAATGCAGTTTACGAACGCCTCTTGCCCCGTAGTTCAGTGAAGTCGGGACCTCCGTTCTGCGCTTCGCCTACCTGTGCGGCGAAGCAGTCACATCACGTAACACCCGACGGCCTAACAGCGGCATCCGCCGGCGGCGGAAGTTGGCGCGCGCCCTAGCAGGCCCTCCGGCGGAGGGAGCAGGCGGCGGAGACGACGACGGCGGTGGCGGGGACAACGGCTGCGGCGGCGACGACGGAGACAATAGCGGCGTCAAAGTGTGGAGACCGGCAGAGACGGGTGGCGGTGGAAACAGCGGCGGCGATGGCGGAGACTGCGGTGGTGACGTAATGAAGATGGCAGCGAAGGCGGCAACGCACGGCGGGATGCGGAGCAAGCGAAATCTGCAGGTGGTCCGGCGCGCTTGCCGCCGCCGCTGCCGCCGCGGCGCCCTTGCACCTGGATGCCCTCCGCAGACGTGGCGCCTCCAGCCCACTTGTGGAGTCGCGGCGGGTGCGTAACGAGATCAGGCAAACGCAGCAGGGCGAGTCGAAGCAAATATGAACGAAAAGCAAATATGGAATAAAAGTGAGACTTTTTCTTTCTATATGAAGCACTAGCTTCTTGGTGCGGTGGTTTGAAAGCTCATGGGAATTTGTCCATCGAAATCATTGCTTAGAAGTGTCCAGACTAAAAATTATGAGTACGTACTACATCAACACAGCTTTGACAATAGATGATTCCGCCTCTCGTATGTATTTTCATATTCAGTTTATTTTGCTTATATCTTATTACATGGGAAGTTCATTTTGAAGATTTATTACATAGTTTTTTGTTAAGGTACACTTAAATTGTTGGACGATTTTGTAAAATATTTCTCTGTAATTAATTATGGTAAATATCTTAAAATTTGGCAAAGCATATTGTATATTTTATTATTAACTGTCGAAACACTGTAAGTGAATACAACTCCAGCGAAATAGCAACACAAGGTTCTTGAGACTAAAATGCTCATAACCTGCTAGCTGAGTATCTAAGATTCCGAAAATATATTTGTTGTTGCCTGCACCGTTGGTGTTATGAGTAATGCACTTTTAGAAGGATAATTGTTTTTGGCCATTTTTGTACTCGCATACCCAAAATTTTCATTTGTGGAATTTCTACGAATATCCGTAGCAGTTTAAAATACAGTATATACTAGACGAATTTATCAATTGTGCATATGTGAATCTTTATTTCTTCGTATCAATTAAAAATACTTAAAATTGGAAACCAAATCCATTTTGTGCCAATATTAAATTTCAACCACCCAGGAACTTTTCTCGTTCCTTGTCTGTAATTAATATGTTCGGGATTTTCACAAATAATGGCGCACACTTTGCCTGAATACGTCTGTAGATTCACGGAATGCATTTGCATCAGGAGATCTTAAAGAGCGGTAGGATTCATTTTCCAGGAGGGGTTCTCTCGCATTCGTTATCAAGAGCTCCCATGACGAATCGTTAATTAAATTTCATGGAAGATATTTTAAATAATATTGATATTTAAAATACAAAGAGTTTTCAATCTGAAAAAATGAAACATTCTATTCAACCATATTTCGTGATTATTATGAGAGGTAAAGCCGTAGATGAGTTTTCGCTTGCTGTAATTACTACAAACACTTAAAATTAATTCAAGGACCGCTTATCTTCAGTCATCCATACTGTAATACAACCTGTAAGTTACTCTATCATAAGGGGGAGTTGTCATAATATTTAAGGTGCGACGGTTACTTTCACACAGCAGTGTGCACGCGTTGAATTTATTTAAAGGGCGCCAAGCGCATGTCTTACCTGATATCCGGTCACCGGCGTTGAGCAACTCAGGGGTGAGCGCCTTGGGTCGAAGGATTGCATTTAGTTTATTGACTTAATACACAGGCTATTTTTCTTTGTGTTACCACCCGACGAAATGGCGGGGTCACTTTTATTATGGATAAATTGTGTCTCACATACAATTATCTGTTGAGCTTTCCTCTGGCTGATAATAAGTATGGCGTAAATTCACTTACAGGATGGTGATGGTTGTAATGTCGTTACTTCACCCCGAAAGGATTACACGTCAAATACCGGTCGGATGCAGCGGAAGACCCCCGTAGTCGGCTCGAGCGCTCGCGAATGTCCAACATCAGACTGGGCGGGAGATCATCCGTGGCCGTCCGCGAAATGAAGAGTCGGTTTTTGATGTGCGGGTCGCAGGTCGTCATACGTCGCCTGGATCGCGATTTGTGTTTTACTGCCGAATGGTCGGGCTGCAAATCTTCACGGATGATTTTAGGGTGTTGATCCTATTATGCCAGCACGACATCCGGAATAAATTCCAATGCTACATTTCAAGTAAGGTCCGATAACCGAACGTAAGTGCAGTGGAAACCAAACTGACTGAGCACAAAACACAACCCACAATCTTTCCAGGATATACGAATTAGACTTTTTTTGACAGTTTGAAAAAAATGTTTCTACTTGGTAAAATACTGAAATGATACAATATACGACTCCTCACAAACGTGTAATCAGCAAACAATCTAGAATATTTAGAAGTTCCTGAAAAGACTGCCATATTCTCGGTCGTCGTACTAGGTTTTATAAATAGCCATGACGAAAGTCAAACTACCACGACCGAAACTGACTGTTGACATCCATGTCAAAAGTTGCAAACCATGCATTACCCTTAGCGTCTTGCGATTATCCCAGGTTTCCATCGACTCCAGCGGCAGAAGACTAAATCTCTTCATCTTCTACGTTTCCCGTTCATGAAGTTCAAATACAAATAATTTAAATTAAAAAAATGCCTTGCGTTTACTCACCAAGCAGCAGCAACGCCAGGTCGGAGACTGCCAAGGAGAAGAGGTAGTAGTTGGTGGCGGTGTGCAGCTCGGGCATGCGCACGATCACGGCGCACACCGCCACATTGCCCACCACCCCAGAGACGAAGATGGCGGCGTACACCGCCGACACCGGCAGGACGACGCGCATCGGCAGGTGCTGCGGGCCCATATAAGTGAGCAGGTACTCGTCCAGCGTCTGGTTATTCCACGTGTCGCTGGGGTCTGCCCACGAACTGCCCGCGCTGAACCAGCCGTCTTCGTCCACGCCGTCTGTCGCCATGGTGGATGCCGTGAAGTAAGCCGTGGTGAACGAGTCGGGGGATTCGGTTCTTTGTTTAGTTTCTCAGCACGTTCCCTTGCTTCGTGATTCGAAGATGCACTTTCAGACACCTAGATATTTTGTACACGCGACTAAGTATTTTACACAGATTACACAGAAGAGATCAGATGACTTTTTGTGGAATGGTGTTTTCGGTTTCGTCAATTATTTCGAATTTTTACCTCCTAGTTTCTCTCAAAATTATTTGCACAGCTATATTTGACAACAAACATAGACACAGACGAAGATACAGTAACCTCGTTTGAATATTCGAATCACAGGTATTTCACACTGGCTTAAAACAAATACGAATTCGAAGCGTTATCTAGGAGAATCAACCTCACCAACTTGGACATTAGTTTTCTACTGACAGTTTTAAAAGTATGAAATTCAACTATGTCCACGAAAGTGCACTGCGTACCTTAAAATACGTTTGCGTCGTAATTTATATTTACATTAATTAACTTCTAAAATTCAAAAATAAATTGATTTCATTTTTCAATTTACTCAACAATGTCTATTCAAAAATATTTACACACTGAGTCGCACTGATTTACTACACATTAATTCATAATTTTTCTTCATAAACACCCAGTGTTCTACAATATAACAGAAATATTTCACTTGCACAGTTCATAAAGTAAATTGCGTTATTTCAATTCTAAGGTTTCGTTGAACTCACTTATTTTAAATAATGCAGCGTATTAAAGACTTTATCTTTTTTCACTGATATTACTAATACCAAACCAGAAGTTGAGTAATCACCTGCATTTGATGTACTAATAGTACATCTTCCGTTACGGTAACTCAACCGGGTGATGGTATTGTGGCAATTAATTTATCTTTTGCACTGATAGATTTCATTTCTTGAGATCTCTTTTGTGCACGAATTTACAAAATCAAAGCTTCGGTTTTCAGAATAAATACCTTTCACTTGTGTACAAAATGCATTCCATGATTCAGTTGAGTACTTAGACCAGTGCGTTTCTCCATGATAATTAATATTCTTGCAACGTCTGGAACTCTGTGACTAGCTGGTCTCTGGAGTCAGCGTGCGCGACTGAGCTGCTCACGGAAATCTACAACAGAGAGAAAACATATTCCTAGTTCAATATGCACATACCTTTGCAATTAAGTTCCAGCACGTAAGTTGAGTCGCTTTAAAAATATTTCTAACACAGCTTTTTTTTTTCTTGCAACAAACTTAAAAAACATAATCTGTTCCTAAATAAAACTCAATTATATTGTTATTCACAACCACAAGTACATAACCGGTTTAAACTCAATTCGCGGCCTTAAATAAAAAGGGTCTAACTAGTGGCGTCTTCTGCTCAGTGAGCATGGGGATACGATCAGAGTTTTAACATGAATTAAAGTTCGGTTCATGGTGTTCAAAAACTTTTTAGCTCACTTCGACGTAATCAAGGAAACCTTGTATGAAATATTATTCTGTCTTTTCTGTGCTGTAAATATAGTATCAGCATCATTTATCCATGTTTGTTTGATTTGTAAAAGTTAGAACTACGGACACTACGGTTTTCGTCTTTGTTTTCTTCCGGGGGCTTTTTAGCTTCGGGAGATGTCGATTTTTGACTGCCCGCGCCGGATACCCTCTATGGCCCTCGTAGGAAAACCTTCTAACCTCTACAGTTGACACTGACACACTTGCGGCCTCCTCGGTCTGTCGTCAATAGGTTCACGAGGCCTTCCGCGACAACACATACATGTAAGGCAAGGGAAAATCAACCATGTCCACGGCGGGATTCGAACTCGCGACACTTCCGACCGCGCAACTGAATTGGCACTCGCTCTATCCATTTTGGCCATCCAGGTTACCGCAACAGGCGCTTCTTTTGAATCAGTTAAATTGGACTTTCAATTTATAAAAGAAAATTACAATTTCCTTCATACTAAAACAATTATATGTTTCAATATTATATAACTATATCCAATGATGCGAGAGAGTGTGTGATGTTGTAGCACCACCAGTTCATGAATGTAACTTTGACATTATAAAAGTTCGTGGAAGCGTATTTAGCTTCTATGTCGAGTTTTGCTATTTGCCTGCAAGGGGTATTGTGGGCTTCCACTAAGTGCCGCCAGAGAGCGCACAAGAGACCCATAAAGCAGCGCGCTGATCTGCCAGGAAAAATGCAGTGAAGTGCCAACGACAGTAGACTTGCGAGCAGATTCACGAGCAGTCTACCTGGGCATTTAGCTTGCACCCTAGTCGCATGAAGTTCAATCGCTCATTGAGGCCCGGGCCTTTGCGGTCTGTCGTAAAGTTTTTATTCTGGCCGACTATGCGCCTCGTTCACGGCTGTGAATTCCAAAACTTCATTCTCGATGTAAATTTGTTCTTACATTGTATTGTATGTTCATGTTTTTCAGTTAGTGATGTTGATTGCTCTATGGTGTCATGACTAAGTACAGAAGTTAATTGAATGTATGTGTAATGCCTAAGTTTTCAAGTTTAAATTAATTAGATTTTAAGCTTAATTTCCCTTGTTATCTTGTGCATAACATATTTTCAATCAATACTTTTAGTGTGTTTCTGACTAGAATTCGTTAGGCTAATTAAACGAATGTGTTCATGAATTGCCTGCTAGCAGCGCAGAATGATTTTTGTACATTTAATTATCCTGTTATCATTATAAATCATGTTAGAATTTGCGTATAACCTACTGGTTAGTCATCTTCATTCAGTGAAGAAAAGCTTCAACAGTCCTTCCGGTGCTTGTGTCGCCTCACGCTTGCTTCATTGAATTTACGCAGGCGCTTCCTTGAATTTCTCTGCATCTGGGTGAGGGCGTTATGAGAGTGTTATAAACTGTATCGAGCATCCTGGCTCAGAGCCACAATGTGATTTTTCTCTTTTCTCGGCGCTGTTTAATGCGGACCAATATTTGTAATAAGGAACTTAATCCTCAATCTTCGATAAAGCTAAATAATCAATAACTTTACTAATAAATAACTAGGGAAAGTACTTTGAGGTGAAAATTATGGCCATAAAGGGATGAAAGGTTTCGAAAATTCC